AAAAAAACAGGTACTAAAATCGTTAGATCTCAGAGAAAAACCACTAAAAATAATATCCTCCACTTATCTTCAAATTTAAAACCAGCGGCTTGACCTAGTCCAGTTGTATGTGCTTCAGTGGGGTCCACACCATGCCCTGAATCCACTGCATGCGCAAGGATGGCGCTGTCTATTCTCCTTATTTCACCCTTTGCCAGCCATGCGGGAAGGTGCTCTCGTATTCCCTTTGAAAGGCGCCGACTCGTACGACCAATATAACCTGCTCCACAGGAGCAAGTGAATGAGTAGATGCACATTGAGGCGGTCTGATGTGGCAGCCTATCCTTGCCTTCTCCGCGTAGAATAGGGTTAGTAGAGAATGATATGCGAACCCCTGCTGTTGGGAAGGTTCTCGAGACAGCTTGGTCAAGGCGTCTTCTTAAGATTTCCCCTGCAGCGTCTCCTTGGAAGGGGACTTTGAGGAAGAACGTTTTCTTTCTGGCGGTTAGTGTGGTGGGTTTTGCAATGAACCTGTCAGGGTACCCATTTTCTCGAAGCAAATCTCGGATTTTTCTAAGTTAACCCTCGATACTATCTGTTGAACAAATTCTTCTAGCCCTTTGTGCCAAACGTCAGACTAGATTCCGTTTTTGTTGGAGTGGTACGAAACTTGCGAAGTTCGTGTATTGTCCAGTCCGGGTTTTCTTCCGATAGACGCTGCTTCGGATGCTACCGTCAGATCTCCTGTTTTGATGGACATCTAAGAAAGGAAGCGAACCGGCCGATTCCATCTCCAACGCAAATTTGATCGACGAATGTGCCTGATTTGCAGCATTTAGGAGGGCAGCGACGTCGGTTTCTGTGGTTGCAATCGCAAAGATATCATCAACGTAGCGACCATCATGTTTATGCTTTTTGATCTGATCACTTATTTACTCATGGGGGATTTTAATGCACCCTGCATTCAATGGAGAGATATACGTGCGAAGTGCTCGATGAATACCTTCGATTACCATCTACTAAAGACAACCCTAGAAGCTCTACTCACGCAACGTGTACTGTTTCCAACTAGAGCTCGTGGAGGGTAACAGGCCAGTTGTCTGGACTTCGTTTTTACCAAAGATCCTGACAGTATAGACGAGGTGTACTACCTACCCCCGCTCGGTCGAAGTGATCATGTAGTTCTTTTATGCGAGTACTTGTTGTATTCTGAACCGTGTACAAAAGACAATACAGGGTCAAATAAATGGAAAAGGGACTTTCGCCAAATGAGAGCTGAGGCATCACAAATAGACTGGGATGTTCTCTTCTCCGGAAACGTTAACGAGGACTGGAATTTATACAAGGATCGTTTACTGCATCTAATGAAGAACCACTGTCCCTTTTCAAAGCCTAGGTTATCCAACCGCCCTCAGTGGCTAACACGAGAACTCAAAAAGGAGATCAACAAGAAAGGAAGGTTATGGAAGAAATTTCGCAAGAGCAACAACAATAATGCAGCGTTTACAGAATACAAAGTTCAAAGAAATAAGGGGAAAAGTCTGATTTTCAGGAGGCGGCGGGATTTTGAGAGTAATTTGCTCCACCAAGCCGTTAAAAATCCGAAATTGCTCTACAGCTATTTCCGGAAAAGCACACGTAACAGGAATCCCATTCCTGTTATGAGGCGTGATGACGGCTTGGAGATATCGGACAGTACAAATAAGGCTGAGCACTTTTCTCAATTTTTCCTATCCGTTTTCACGAGAGAAGCAGACTTTACCCCATCTAATTCTGAGAACATGAGAGATCCCACTATCGAAAATATTGTGTTTCGAGAAGAAGCGATTTTGGAGGAACTGAATAGCTTGAAGGAATGTAAATCTCCCGGTCCGGACGAGATCCCAGCAAAGCTGGTCTTTGAGCTTGCCCAACAGCTGGTCAAGCCATTATCCTTTCTGTGCCAGAAATCGTTTGATGCTGGAATTCTTCCCACAGATTGGAAGATGGCCCACATTACACCCCTTTACAAAAGCGGTAGTCGTGCTCTGGCGACAAACTACAGACCCGTCAGTCTGACATCAATCTGCTGCAAAGTGATGGAGAAAACCATCAAAAGGAAGTTGATGGCTTACTTGGAAACCCACAACCTCTTGTCCAATGCACAATATGGTTTCCGTAGGGGAAGATCATGTGTTACGAACTTGCTATACACAATGCAAAGTTGGACACGAGCACTGGACGCAAAACACACCGTGCATGTTGCCTATATTGATTTCCGGAAGGCGTTTGACAGTGTTCCGCACCAGCGTCTCCTACACAAGTTGAGAATTATGGGCATCGGTGGCAAACTTCTCAAATGGATCGAAAATTTCCTTGTCGGCCGCTCCCAAATTGTCTGCGTAGAACAACAGCAATCAAGGTGCGCATTCATAGAGAGTGGGGTCCCACAAGGCTCGGTGCTCGGACCAACCCTCTTTCTCTTGTTCATCAATGATTGTGTAGATGGTTTGGACTGTGATTGTGCCATGTTTGCGGACGACATAAAAATCTGGAAAGTCATCCACAATGCTGCCGATGAGACCAACTTGTTCAGGCTCCGCGCTTACCGTGGTCAAAGGTTACTAACCACATACAACTTTCAGCGCCCTTCCGCTCTTGCCTAGCTTGTGTTTTTAAAAACTAACTTTTATCGATTTTTGTTTCACTCACTGTACCCCGTCCTATGAAACTGTATTGGCCTGATGGGGAGTTACCGAAAGGAACGTTCACTCGCCAATGTCACTTCTAAACATATTTATGGGGGTTTTCACATCTTTAAAAAATACTTTCTTACATTCAGTATACCTTGGGACACACGTAATTTGAAGGGATGTCCGCGGAGTTTAGTTTTATTGGTGAGTCGGAAACAATCGTCCTTTTTGACTCCTCAGACGCCTTCATCTACATCCCTGCACCAACTCCCTTGTCGATCGCCATTTTGACCACACTCCTGACATGCCGTCGCCTCCGACGTCCACTATTGCTAAGTTCCCGGTCTCTACTACGAATCCGGCGACGGAGGTTACTGCTTCCTCCGGTCCCATCACTGGTAAGTACACTCCCGACGTTCCGTCAGCCACTATCCTCTCACCACCCTTATCACTATCAGTGTGGATTCGGTCACACTTTCACATAACACATCTGACTGTTCGGTCACGTGCAAATCCTCCACACTGGTACTGGCGAACCAGTACAAGGAACGCGAACATGCACACCCGCCTACACCTGCATTGTCCACATTCATATTCAGTCACCGCGCCAGCATATTTGATCATCTGCGCCCCCCATGCTAGTCTGCGGAAAACATCCGCGGACAAGACCTCCACACCACGTGCACTGCATTATGATTACGATTGAACTGTGACCCAATCACATTTTAAATGCCTGCAATTTTATTTTATTTTTGAGTATGAATCTGCGAAAGCACTGTATATAAATAGGGTCATCAAGGGCTCTGCCTGTAACCCTTCAATATACGTACATACATACATACGTGCACCACACATGAAATCGCTCCAAATCACCGGCCACAGGAACGGAGCAAACACTTCCCACCTATGTGGGGAGGGTGGTTTTCGGCTCCTCCACCATGTGCTCTCCCTGCTAGTCTACACAAATGAGGCCGGAAAACGCCATCCCCTTTGTATGAGATCCTGGTGTGTTATGCGGGTGCCAAATTGTGTGGGGCACCTGTAAACAGACTGTGAATTTTAGAACAGTTAGGCTGCAAAGCATGGATTCCTCAAAGCTCGGTCTTGTGACACCTGTCAACTCTCTTTCTTTGACTATGTTCTCCAATCTAGGAACAATGGTTTTGCACTTTACGCAGTATATTTTGACGATTTAACTAAGGATTTCGAGGCCATAAAGGTCAAGCCGCTGGTTTTAAATTTGAAGATAAGTGGAGGATATTATTTTTAGTGGTTTTTCTCTGAGATCTAACGATTTTAGTACCTGTTTTTTTGTTTGAATTTCCTTAAATACAGGCCTTTTCTCTAAGAACTGCCCGCTGCCATCTCCTTTCGAGTTTTGCTAGTCTACGCCCGCTGTTCACTAATCGCACTTTGCAATTCTCATTTTGTGCATCCGATTTCTCTCTAACTGTTGTAATTTATTTTTACATCGTTAGCCCCTAGCTGAAATTCAGTCAACTTGTCTGCCAGAAGTTTTCTTAATTACAAATTGCCTCGAGACTAGATGAGACCAAAAGTCACTGGTCGACGTAAGCTCTCGGCTCTTGTAAGTAAACATGGCCTAACTAAACGTAAGTCAGAAGCTTTACCTAAATCTAAGTCAGATGATATTACTAGTCAGTCGTCACCCGTTCTAATTGGTCGGCAGCTTAATCTGTCTGCACTTGACCACTGCAATGACTTTATGCTAAAGTTTGGCTCTTTGCTGACAATTCTTGGACATTTATTCGACAGGAACATCTCCGATATTCCCTCTGAAGAATGTAGGCGTCTCGACTCACTTGTTCACTTGATCGCCAGTGAATCTAGTGATAGACAGAAGCGTTCTTACAACTTCCTGCTAAAAAATGTTCCTCGATCTGCTCGGCCAATTGATGTTACGACCAGTTTCCTGTATTCATGTGGTTTCAACTATAAAATAGCTGATGCCAAACGCTTGTCCTCCCGTAGTACAAATCCACCCATCTTAGTCAAATTGTTTTCATCAATCGAAGTTGACACAATCTTTACTCATCGAGAGCGTGTCACTGCATACCTAGAGAAGGCAAAATTTTTCCTTTGTCATGATCTTACTCCTATGGAGCGTAGAATCAGGTCTCTATTCTCACGTAAACCCACTGCTTCTCAGTCTAGTGCTCCCCAACTCGGTCATAATACAAGTGGCCGTAAGGATTCAGCTTCTCCTACTCCTGCGACATCTGACTCCCTCCTTCCTCTTTCTCCAACATCTCCATCTCACTCAAGCCACTTGACGCATTTGCCTGCCCCTAAACTTGCAGCAGCAGCAGCAGCAGCAGCAGCCCCATTTGTCGTTTTGTATCCTCCGGATAGTCCCGCTGAGACACATGAAAATCCGTCTACATCAGCTAGACCGATAACTTCTATTGTCCAACTGGGTGCTGTAATGTCTACAGCTAAGTCACCCGTGGCTTGGCGTCAGAACGGTGAGACTCGAAAATTGAATCAGACTCCGACCAAAAGATAGGTAGTACAGTTCCGTTTAGGGGTACGACGCCTTCTCTTAGATCTAACAAGTCTGTTCAGCCTAGCACGTCTACAAACCCCGCAGCTCCAATTATATCCTCGAATAATTCTCTGTCCTGCGTACCGGTTACTTATCAAAGCCCTACTATATATCCAGCAAATAATTCATACATGAATTGCCCTAAGTCATGTATACCCCAACCTAGTTCAGACTTCCCACCACTTAAGGCCAATTGCTCTCAGGTACGTCAACCTATCGCCTTTGATTTCCAATCTAGACCTGGTTTCCCACTATTTCATTCTTTTAGTGGCTACCCTCACCCATTAGCCCCTACTTTCCTTCTAGCCTCCCTCCTCCTCCTCCTCCCCTTCCTCCATTATTTAACTACCAACAAGTCTATCCATGTTCTAACTCCCCTAGCATTCCAATGTTTGAAAACTATATCCCCACCTCCTTTAGGTCTCATACGCAGCCTTCTCTTGCTGACTCCCCATACGTCAATAACTCTAAATTAACTGGTACTTATTCTCCAAGTGTCATTAATTCGCAGCTTACATATCCGCCTCCAAATTTTTTTTAAATACTGTCGAAAATAGCATTGCCGCTCGAAACACATTATATATTATATTATTGAATGCCAGGTCTGTTATAAACAAGATGGCCCAAATCAGAGCCATTGCTCTGGAAATGACGCCTGATATTATATGTGTAACAGAATCTTGGACACATTCTCTAATTCCTGACTCTGCCCTTCTCATAG